TTTATTTATTTATTTATTTATTTATTTTTTTTTTTTTGAACATCATTAGCGCATCTCGCTCGTTCAGCTATTTTCCCAGATATATGCCATTGCAATATTCATGTTCAGGTTTATTCGATTTCTTACGCTGTCTTTTAAGCTTTTTCTAGTCAACTTCAGCTTTGTGTAATTTTCTCAAATTTATATTTATTTTTTTTTTTTATATATATATAGCAAAGCTTTAAAGGTCACTAGTTGCTTGAGTGAGTGTGGCAGCAAATGAAAATTGCATCAGTGCTGCACCAGGCAAGTTCGTGTCTTAAGTCTCTTATTTATAAGCTAATAGAAAAGCGCTCAAGCAAAAGTTGAGCTAATTAAAGCAGCTGTCGAGTCGAGTGGCTCGAATGGATTCAACTCGAGCCGATTTGAGTGAAGTCGAGTCGGTTCGAGTCGTGCGACGAGCTACTACTGCAACTGCATACATGTGCTTTGTTGTTGGGCAAGACACTTGACTTGAGGCTGACTTGCAGGTTGGCCCGCCGGCTGGCGGTTTCACTTTCAGCTGGCTTAGAATTCACCTGGTCTACGAAGTCGTTTAGATTTTCAATTTTTCGCAATTCTCCCGGACGAAGTAAACAAGTTTCTGGTAGCTCAGTCTAGCATTTGCTTTTAGCCAAGCACAAGCACAAACACAAGCGCAGCTAACATTTGATTAGCATTCGCTGCAGTGCTGTGGCTTGGCGCTTAGCGCCTTTAGAAGTTTGTATTTAGATAAGACGTGACCATATGCCAGCATTCATATTTCAGTTTTGTCTGCGGTTTTGTCGCAAATTTGTTTCTTGTCTTTTCTTCATTTGATTCTTTGAATTTGCATAATTGCGCAAGAGTTGTTCACCGCTCATATGCTAATTGTGAGCTTTGTGGGGATTCATAAATGTTATTGTACAGTTAGAAACGTTGTGTGCTTAAATGTTGATTCAAGACTAATGAACAGCTAATGATAATGAGGCAGGCAGATCTTACAACTTCCTGAATCGTTTCTGTAATTGGTAAAGATGCTTTTCTATTATGTCTAGAATCTGACAAGAGTTGCTTGTACCTAGAATAGAAGCTGTCAATACGTGTGATAGGCGAAAGTAAATAAACATTTAATTCAAACACTAAAAGGTGTTTGCTAAATAATAACAGCTGCTAGATAAATAAAAACAGTTTTGAAAAAAAAAAAAATAAAAAATGATAATAATCAAAACAAATAGAAAACTGTTGACATAATTAATAAAGATGAATATTTTTTTAATTTTGTTTTATAAATTAAAATTGCTATATATAGCGAGAATGATAATCAAGAAAATGTGATAAAATATATGAAGAAACAAAAAAATGCTGACAGCAAACACAAGAGACAACAAATTATAGCATCATAGAGAAATATTTTTCATTTCTTGCGACTCTTACTATAAATATATAGATAGCATGGAAAGACACACTAACGACAACTTGTCGAGAATTTAGAGGTAAAACATAAAATCTGAAATATTTTATACTAACCAGTTCAAGCCATGGCTGGCCCTATAAACTATGCATCTTCTCAATACTAAAATTCATAATATCACGAATAAATTAAATATGAAATTATAATTTCCAATGTTAGATGCGTTGCCTATTTCTACATAAATACTAAGCAAATCTGATTTAAATTAGTTGACTTCCAGTAAAAGTTATTCAACGGTATTACATTATGTCGGAGAAAAATGATTAAAAAATACCATAGGGAGTTCGAATCGCCAAAGCAGTGTGCTGGGTATCTTCTAGTCGAGCACTTTTACTTTTTATACCGCACGTAAATTTGTTTTTCATATCTCTCCATCCAAGCTCCACCTTGAGACTGTTCCAATTAAATGGAAAATTTATAGACTACAAATTCCATCAAATCACAGCGCTTAGCTGGCATTAAGAGATCTATGTCAGTATATAAAGAATAATTTAAAAGATGCCCAACATTGCTCCATTTGTACGTTAATACTCAAACATAGCGTTATTCGTAAGCTCTTGGAAATTTTCCGTTTTTATTTTGTTTTTTTTTTTTTTTTTTTTTTTTTTACAAAGGTCAATGCGTTTACCTTGACAATCAAATAGACAATCTAACAAACCATAAAAGAGACCAATAAACCCAGACGCAGACCCTACAAGTTTGATGCTGACGCAGCTGGTTTTTCGCTTTTAAAAAAGACAGATTGTGAAAAATGATTTCCAGTTTTTTTTTTAACTTATATTTCTGTTTTTTTTTTTTTGTCAAATGACAAAGCAAATATGGATACGAGCACGACTATATTAAAGCTTTTTGTATCTGGTTGCATTTACATATAGGCAAGTCATGTGTGGACTTTATTAGCTCGAGATCAGGCAGAACAAGCAAATGATTTGCTTTTAGAATGGACTTCCGCACTATTTTATTCACATTTGTTCAGCCTTAAGGTTTTATTTTTTGCATAAACTTGAAAGTGTAAAAAGATCAGTTTAATGGGTTGAGCGTTTCGCATATGTTCCATTTGATGGCCCATTAAAATGCTCTTGTAAATATGAATAAAAAAAAAATATAAAAAAAAGAATTAAAAAAAAAATACATTTATCTTTCGGCATAAATCGCGGCAGACACATATTTAAGTTATTATCATGTTATGCATAAATTATAATGGGTCACTTCCTGCCCTTGTTCAAGCAGAAGAGCCAAAGACGTCGGGAAAAAGCACACGAATTGCATGTTCAATTATGTGACAAAATGTCTGTCAACAAGGCAACAAGTGAAAGAGGCGACTGATCATTATTATCTCATATCATTATATTCATCATAATCATCATAATCATCGCCACCGGACACCAGCTAACATGGTACCCTTAATGAATTTTCGTATTATTTATGGTCAACTTTTTTTTCTTGCATTTTGCTTTATTTTCTTTATTATTTCGTGGCCAAACTGCAGCTAACTAAAAGGGGAAGAGTTTATTTGATAAGATATTTCGAAAAAGTAGATACCCTATATTGTAGTCAAATTTTTTATGATCTTACATCATACTTGATCTTATATCTTTTTTTTTTTTAATATAAATGTACTTAAATATATTTGTATATTAATGCATGATTTTTATTACTTAAAACTTGAATTCTTCATTATAACCGAAGATACTAAAATACGTTCGTGTTTAGCGTTTTAGTTTTAAAATGACATTTAATTTTCTGTTAACGTAAACTAAACCCAAAATTAGAACTAAAATGATATACATACTATTCAATTACAAAAACATATATTACATTTTTGTTTTAAAGAAAGTATATCTTACTAAATATAGAATTTAGATTTTTCATAAATAAACTACTAAAAAAATACATGATAAAATCACCTTATTTAGTTAACTATTCCGAACAGTTGCCTAACCATATAATACCCTTTGCTAAGCCGCTTGCAGAGCAACATCAACAGCAACAACAACACTAGCAATGCTGGCCACGTTGCGCCACATTCATTGTTAATGTCAAAATAATTGGACACGCTTGCCAGTGCGGCTGCTGCCGCTGCTGTCGTTGGCCCCTGAGTAGTAGCTGAAGTTGCACCCCAAGCCGGGGCACAGTTGCAGGGCCCAGCGCGACGGCTGCGGGACTGTGAAGCGATGTTGACGTCGCGTGTGGCACGAAAATTTATGGGCCGCCTCTGGTGGCAAGCGAGATGGAAAGTGCCACTGTGTTGCCCCTTAGCTGTTGATGTTTTTGTTGTATCTTATCTTTGTTGTATTATTGTTTCCTCCCGAAAAAATGAGTAAAATGTTATGTTAATGTTGCTGCTGTTGCTGTTGTTGTTGTTGTTGCTGGCAATTTTGTTGCCCGCGCCGTTTGTTATCTTTATGCGACAATGTAGACGTGCGAGTCATATATTATGACAGCTTATTGACACTAAATCAACAGCAGCAGCGTCCAAAGAGTTGAGTTGATCTCTTAAAGAAGTTGAAAACATTTCAAGTATTTACCCAGTTTGAGGCGTCAAATTCAGCCTCTATTAACATGCTACCGCAAACTGCCAGACAATTCACATTGTTGGCGATTTGTTTGCCCATTTATGTTATTTGTCATTGCTGGTTTTGTTGAGGGCACCACCAAAAAGAGAGCCAAAATTGACATATGGAACAGCATGTTTGTGCGCTAATATTGGCACACACACTGTCTGACAGCTGGCGGCACACTCACAAGAAAAGCCTCCAGAATGACGAGGGTTAAAACAAAAGACTTAGGCAACAAACTTGTTGTCACATTTGACATTTAACAGAAGCCGGCTCAGTTAAAAGCTTATGGAAATACGGTGTCAAAATGTTTTGGCTAAAAGTTTTTTGTTTTTCCTTGGGCTCACATATAAGACATTGTCAGACAGCGAAAGGTTTTAAAAGGAAACAAGACGATTTTTTATAGCGTAATTTCCCACAGTTTGTTTTAAATTTGAATTTTAGTTTTATGAAACGCATCAATTTTGTTCATGCTGCAACTTTTGACGCCTTTAATTATATTGCCTCAATTAACTTACTCTGTTTCCTCTGTATAATTATCAACACCTCTCTTATCGTTTGTTTCCTGCAGGACCTTTATTACATCGCCTTCGGCTATCCCGAAAAGGAACTCAACACGGACATTGCGTTAATCACAGGTGGCGGCAATGGACTCGGCCGTCAGCTTGCCGAGCGACTGGGCAAAATGGGCACCAAAATTATCATTTGGGACATTAATCAAAAGGGTAAAGCAAACAGACAGAAAGAAAGAGAGCAATGAGAGAGGGAGAGAGAGAGAGAGAGAGAGAGAGAGTGAATGATACTTATGTAATTTTCTGAACTTTTCAGGCATTGCGGAGACCGTTCAGATCGTAGAAGAGGCGGGCGGCTATTGCAAGGGCTATGTGGTGGATATATCAAAGAAAGAGGAGGTCTACAAAGCGGCCGATGTCATCAGAGCAGAAGTTGGTGATGTAAGTATCCAGAGAGGGAAACGGGAAGGGGAGGGACATGTGCACTTGTGGAATGTGCGCGTCAATTGAAGCATAAAACTCTTGTAATTGCCGTTCACAGTTGAGCGCTTAAAGTAGTCGACGTAATTGTTTGTTGAGGGGCGTTTAATGGCCAGAACCCTTCTACTAGCTGTGTGATTGTTGTTGTTGTTATTGTTTAGAATGAACACATGTAGGCCCAAACACTCTCGACGTGGCCACGCCCCCGGGCAACACATCTTCTGCATATATTTATGTCATAAATTTTGTTTCAAGACGTGAATTTGTATGCATGAGCGCATTTTCAGCGTGCCACAGTCAACCTTGAGAAGTGCTAGAGAGCGAGACAGAAAGACAAAGAAAGAGGTGAGAGAGATAGAGAGAGAGAGAGAGAGACATAGGGAGGGAAGTGACCATTGGACGGGGCCTTCAAACTGGTTGCCACTTGCGTTGCGTCTGGCAATTAATCACAATGTGGAGCACTGGCTGCCTTTGGCTTTTACCGGGGCAAAATCGCAGCCTGCATTCAAATTAATCGCAACCGGCACGAGCTGCCGTCGCCGTCGAGCACTGCCACAGTGCCACGCCTATTCTGGGATGCACATTAAAAGTGCATAAAAATCACAGGCACTAATTGTGCGACTGCTCCCGAACGCATCTTCACTGCAACGCATAAGTCTTATAAGAAACTATACACATATATACATACATACATATGTATATACAATCTTCAAATTATCCAAGGCGATGTCCAATTGCAACAGGCATGCAATCGTGTCATGGCATTCATTATCACTGTGAATGCAACTGTGAACGCTGACTGCCGCCAGTCGAATATCGCCTTCTGACTGCCAACTGGCAAGTGCTATCTGCCTGGCTTTCGACTGTGGACGGCCGATAGTCGACTGCAGTTGCTAATGTGATTAGCGCAGTTTTGCCAAAGTGTCGAAAGTCCGGCAAGCGCATCAGTTTTCATCATTCACATTAGCTTTGATGGCTTCCGCAATGGGGTTATATCGATAGTCTATGCATTGAAGATGTCTATATTGAAAAAAGAATACATACTAATTAAAGTGTGGAACGCAGAGGACAGTAATATTATCGTTATAGACGAGACGCGCTCATCTCGAACCAGTTGTAGCTCAACATTTATTGACTTTGAGTCTGAAATTAACTGAGCCAGAACTGAAACCAAAAACTCATCTAAAAACATGAATAACTTGAGTCCGTTATAGCTTGAATCTGTTATATAACGACATTCTACGTCACCTCATTATGGATAGAATTTATACGTCAAAGACTTGGATTCAATGTAAATACAATTTTAATTGTTTCATTAAAGCTTAAAACTATTTATGGCCAACATGACACTAATGTTGGCTTAGTGCTTGAGTGCTTTAGGCCATGTATATAATCCAAGGCCTGAAGTAATTTTTAGCCTCGATCTCTAGCAATTCTGATATTATATCAGCCTATCTTATGCTAATTTATATGCTATGATATTAAAATATTTACTAGAAAATATAATATAGTGTGTGTAGGTTGTTAATAAAAATCTCTGTTAAAATTAAAAATTGGGTACAATTTTTTAAAATTCAATTTTTACAACTAAAGAGTTAACTAAAATTTAAATTAAAAACAAAACAGATTTTTTATTTTTCAACTTTTTTTTTAATTTATGTAAGGCTAAAATGTAAGGCTAAGTTTATATTTTATTATTTCTTCCCGAATTTTTATTTCGTATAATTATAAACAAATAAGCTGCTTAAGCGTGGCCCTTTTCCTGCTAATTATTATCGTTGTCTGCTCGACTGTTTGCCCTTTTGATTAGAACTCCCTTTTGTTGCAATTGCTAATGAATGTTAAGTCAAGGGCGCAGCTGGAGTTGTGAAATCATTAAACAAAAAAAATCGTAAGCATATTCAAGTCTTTGAAGAACTGATAAAAAGTTCTGATTGCCAGCTCTAAGTTGAAAATATAGAAATGCATAATTTAAATACTGATGATAGCTTTGTTCCCTATATAAAGATTAATTTCCTCTCTCTAAATAAATAGCCATAAATCAACTTAGAGACTTTTAAAGTGCAACTTAAGTAAAATTTTATAAGTATACATTAAAGTGCTGAAAAATATTTAAGTCCAGTAATTACTCATTAAAGTCTTGATATGTGATTCACATTTATCATTTTTAAAGTTAAGCATATATAATTATCGGCACTTGAACTTTACTTGAACTCTATAATATTCGGCCTATAATTACGCTAAAGACCCTCTATAATTTTTGAAAAATACAAGCATTTATTGTTCTATTCGGCGACAAGCCCAAAATGGTCAACAATTTTGGTCAGTTCATTGTTGCAGAGTTTGTATCAACGGGCGCTTTGATATGCCATCATTATGGGGGCTCAAAACATTTTACGCTTGGCCTGCGTTTAATTCTGCATAAAATATTAACGATCTGACAACTTTAGCAACAACAATAACAATAACAACTGAGTCTTGAATCATTAGCGTAAAGAGATAAAAGGTAAAATCTGTTTGGCTTTAGCTAGAAACTTCCACAAAAAATAATTATAATGAAAACAACATGCGAAACGAAATTAAGAAGCAAAAATAGTTAGAATAAAGTTATCAAAATAGTTTAGCAACAAAAAAAATTGAGTCGAGGAGTCCAAAGACCATTATCGCTTCAGACTGAGTAAACGAAAAAAAAAAAAAAAATTAAGAAAATAGCATAGAGATAAGTAAAGATGCGTTGATGTTTAAAATGCAGCCTAAGAATACCCTGTACCTAAGAGCAACATAAAAAAAATATAATTGCTAGAAAATTTTAAATAATATAATTAGTTGTGTATTTTAATGTTTTATGTTCAATTATCATTATTCTATTTTGTTTTTATTAAAAATTTCAATTTAAATTTGGCATTAATCTGGCTAGTGAGGAATAGAGAATACAGTTAGCTAAGCAAATAAAAACCAGGATTAAGATTAAGATTTCGAACAAATGACTTAACGATATCGCACATAACTTTAGAGGAAGTATCTTATTTCTATTAACTTTTGGGTCTCTAGTTAGTCAATAGAGATAAGATATGAAATCACAGACAATCCCTAGTTTCTATAGATTACAGGGTATTTAAAACAGTAGCACAAATGAGCAAAAAACATTTTAACTACTTAATAAGTCATGCGTTATGCAGATGACTCTTTGCTTTTGTTGTTACTGTTGCCGTCTGGTCTCTGAAATAGTACATTTAATATTTTTAATAACTTGTGTTGTGCTTTTTGCTTCGCTGTTGCTTTAATGCACGCCTCGTTAAATGCTTTTTTCTGTTTTCTTTTTGTTTTTGCTTGCGCATACGCAACGTGTGACCCGCTGTCGCAGCTCCCTGCGCCCATTCACCCATTCGCCCGGTGCACTTGAACCCGCTCTGGCCTGAATTTGTTGTCCGTAGTTATTACATCGGTTGTTGCTATGATAGCTTTTCTTGTTAAATGAAATGTTGCACTTGTTGTTAGCTTTAGCCTAAGTAGCAACAGCAGCAACGTCGCTTATTTATAGTTGAAGCAATCATATTTATATCTCCAAGCAGCATTTTACATTATTCGCAATTAGACCTTGACATGTTACACTTATTATTACTTTGCTTTCATTCGTTTCCAACGCATCTTCATAGCAAATTACGCATTGAGATTTAAGCTGAAAAAAAAAAAAAAAACTTTTGTAATAATAATTGCACTATTTTTTGTTGTATTTTCGCTTTCTGGTAAATGATTTAGGTCCGTAATGAATTACTTAATAAATATGCAGTAGGAAGTGGAATCGGAATGTGCGTAAATTTCTTACAAAGTATATATGAGATAGAAATAAAAAATAAAAGTAAAGCAGAAGTTAAATAAAAGTTAATTAAGGTAATTTAGTTTCGCCTGATAGAGATTTTACAGATTAAGAGACTTTAAGAATTTTATCAAATGAGGTGAGATCTTTTTAATATCGGAAACATTTCGAATTTGTTAAATGATTGCATATAAATACTTTATAACCGATTACTATATATACTCAAATTAAAAATATAATGAAAATTAAAATAATAATTTGAAAAACCATAAAATAATTTTATTTTTAATTTTTCTTATAATTTAATAATATCATTTTGGGGTATAAGCATATACAAACTTTTTATATATAGGATATGTATTGTGTAATGATTATATGATATGATATATCTAGTATGTAGTAGTAGTAGTAGTAGTAGTAGTATGATGACATGATCTAAAAAATAATATTTTTTTAAATAGAACCTTTTTTTTTCAAAGCATATTTAGTTCTTTTATAAAAATAAAATAAATTTGAAGTATTATTAAATTATTAAATAAATTAACTATCATGAGGTTGAAGCATTTATTGCTGCAAGTATTTATTTGCAAGTATTAAATTGAACTGGAATTAACAAGAGGTCGAAAATATTCAAGAGCAGTTTTTTTTTTCATTGCAAACTGGTTAGAATTACTTGAAATTGCTTTGCCGCGTTTAGTGCTAAGACCATAAACGAAAATTGAACACGTGTTATAGCCAAGTGGCCGGCCAGCCGCAAACAAGTTGAGAATTATTTAATTTGTTACGCAATTTAGCTGCACATGTAAATTTACGAAACAATAAGATTTAAATGCCTTTCAGATTTTATTGGCAGACACGAAAATTGCCAAACAGAAGCCGAGTAAATCTTTACGAGAATCCATTAAAACGTTTCTTTATTTGATTTCCCCTCTGCAGGTCACTTTGCTGATTAACAATGCTGGAGTTGTGTCTGGACTGCATCTGCTGGAAACGCCGGACCATCTGATCGAGCGTTCGTTCAATGTGAATGTTATAGCACACTTTTGGGTAGGTTGAACTCACACAGACACACACACTTGCTATAATAATAACTCGCTGTCATTGCACAGACCGCAAAAGCGTTTCTGCCCAAAATGATCGAGAAGGAACGTGGACATATCGTGACGATCGCCTCTCTGGCTGGCCATGTTGGCATTAGCAAATTGGTCGATTACTGTGCCAGCAAATTTGCAGCGGTTAGTATATTCGTTCGCTGTGCATGCAAATTGCTGAAGAAGTTCTTTTTGACTACAAACTTGTGCACGAAATAATTACAGGTTGGCTTCGATGAGGCGCTGCGTCTGGAGCTGGAAGTTCTCGGACATACGAACATACAAACCACCTGCATTTGCCCGTTCTTCATACAGGCAACGGGCATGTTTGATGATGTGAATGCCAGGTGAGCGCATTTATGGGCGTGGCCGGTGCGGTAATATACTGACAGCTAAACTGTTCTCTTTTGCAGATGGGTGCCCACATTGAATCCCAACGATGTGGCCGATCGCGTCATCTCGGCCATTAGGAAGAACGAGAAGCTGGCCGTCCTTCCCGGTTTCCTCAAGTTCATGCTGTCCCTTAAGTGGTAAGTAAACACTCGACCCAAAAAGAAATGTCTTAATGAGGCTACAAAAATGAGGCCAACGCGTCCAAATTCTTCACAGCTGCATGCAGTCATATAGAAAGCAATTTGAATTATAATAATTAATACGAAAGTGATTCAAAGAATTGTGAAGGGCATATAGCTATCAAATATTTAATAATATAACAATATAGAGGCATACTTGATATAGTTTCATATTAAAGAGGCATTATTTAACACTATTAATAATTATTTCCTTTAGGGAATCTAGTACAAATCTAGAGTGACTACGTTAACTTAAGAAAAGCTTAAGTCAAAGACCAATCAAATGCCATAATATAATTTCAAAAATTCTTAATAAATTGTCCTGCATGTATATAATGCTCCCAAAGCTCTATCTTAGACCATGCCTGTATAACATATGATAACTGATATGAAATTCTTTGTTTTCAATTAGAAGCTCTAAGCAATCAAGGCAAATAGAATAGCGTATATTCATATATATGTATATATGTTTGTATATGTACATAAAATACATTTCTGATTTATCTATTACACAGCATTAGTGCCAGAAATGTCATTTAAGTTTCCTTCAGGAACCACCCCTGGAAATGTCGATCAAAAGTTATTGTCTAATAATTTGAACTGTTGCCCATTGCATTTTCATTCCCTTCGCTTGCCCCTCGCATGACTATTCAAACAGTGAATTATTATCCATTTTGGGAAATCAGTGAAACCGAAATATATGGAAATAAATCCCACTCCATTGCCCAGATCTTTGAAACACCCCAGCCATGGTGCATGGCTAATGGCGCCGCTTTAATGTGTTTCACTTTAATAATGCATAACATTTACCTTTACCTTCTACTAAGTTGTGTCTCATTTCTGTTGGTTTTTTTCTTCTTCTTCTTGCCTATTCACAGGACCTTCCCTTGGGGTTGTGTGGGCGGCTTGTTGCGTCGCCTGGTGCCCGACGCCTCGCCCCATGGCCTGCCCAGCTCCAGCAGCACCAGCAGCAACAACAACAACATCAAGAGCCATGGCCAGGCGAATGGCAACATCATGTCCTCATCCACCGCCGCGGACATGGCTGCCCTCGATGCTCAGTTGAGCAGCGCCAGTGCCGCGCTGCCAGCGAAATCACCCTCGATGCTCATCCAACGGACACCGTCATTGGGGGAGCGGGTGCTCTGAGGAGCGCCGCCAGCCGGCTTCGCCCTTGCCTGCGCGTATTTGTTGCTTTTGCATTTTACGAGTTATGTGTGTAATTGAATTTGTGTTTTTGGCAATTTTTTCTTTCTCTCTCTCTTGTTTTACATTACTCTTTCCCTTTTTTTTTTTTTTTTTTGTTTTTGTTGGCCAAACGAACATCCGCGGTGGATTTGCGGATGGATTTGTGGTCAGGAGCACGTTTAGTAATTTTAAGCTACGAGTCTAGTGATATTACATTTAGTTATGATGGCCCCCCACGGGGCTCTCAGATACGATTAGTTCTTTAAATGCTGATTCGTATTTTCGTACAGAGTAAGATAGAACGAGGCAAAAGAGTGTAGTCAGCAGTCAGGTTCTTGAAAGCATTTCCTTTCGGTTGTAGTTTTTCTTAATACACATAAATCGTATAATTCTAAACTAGTTCAATCCGTTATTGCATCGGATTAAATAAATTTAAATTAATTCTTCAATCGACTTATGCCGTAGGTAAACTTTTCTCTTTTAAGCAACTTTATACTTAAAATCTCTATTTTTTCATAAATTTTAATTAGCTATATTTTTAATACTAATTCCACTAAAGCGTAGTTAGGCAAATTATAACTTTGTCGACAGCAAAACCGAAATAATATAACGAATACAAGTTTAAAAAGTTTCCATGTTAATTAGCTAATACCATTTTGTGTGCATCGAGTTACAATTCGAATACATTATACAAATAATTTATCGAATGAATACAAATAATTTAAAAAATATATACATATAAAAAAAAAAGTAAAAACAAATATATGAATATTAAAAAATAAAAAATAAACAAACAAATACGCCTTTTTACTATAGAATAATAATATAAAAATATTAATGCAGTGAAAGTTTATATAAGAGAAATATATATATACACATTATAATTTTAAAAAATTATAATTTGTTTACTTATAAAATAAATAAAACACAAAAGTTTGATTGCTTTAATATATTTTGATTATATATGATGATAGAAAGATTTAATCAAATATACTTTCTTGAATGAAAAATAATTACTTAACAATATTATTAGATTTTTCAATAACAAATAAAGAATAAAAATATATAAATTTATTGTATATTTGGCACAAAATTATTTGGCAACTACAAAAGTATTATTAAATACATGTACTAAAATTTGTGTCTTATAAAAAGAAATTTAGAAAATATAAATATTATAAAACTCCTTGAAAATCGAAATTGAAGCAGTTGAAACTGAAGTTAGTGTTGACATATATGACCTTTGGTGAACCTTTGGTACGTCTTGACCCTCTTCATGTAACTCATGTAGCTTAATACTAGTTAGGTAATGTTTACTGTTATATATTAGTCGGCAAATGGATTGTCAGTGTTATTTGCAGAGCTCAGAGCTCTGGGCACTTCGTAACGTTTGATTGGATCTCTGTAGATGGGATTCTCCTGACGGGCACTGTTCTCCTGCTCCTGAAGGAAGTGTGCATACTCCCGGGCGTCCTTCATGCGCAGACACCACCAAATCAGGCCAATGATGAACGCACCCAACAACACGGTTAACGCTGCTATGTAGCCGAACATAGCGTACATGTTGACGGGCTCGCAATCATTGGCTTGTATGGCCAAATAGTTGGCATGATCGATCACCTGATAGTTGAAGTAGCTATCGCACTGAATGCCATGCTTGTTGACGATGCGCACCAGGCAGACGGTCTCCGCCTCCAGCTCATTGACAAATAGATGGGTAAAGCGCTCATTGTATTGGGCACTGAAGCAGATCTCGTTCACATTCTCACAGGAGCCCATATGTTGCTTCTGTGCGATGAGGCAGATGACGCAGGGCTCGTAGAACTGGCACAGCTTATTGTCCTTCTCGGCATCGATCTCACAGAACTCGCCCAGGTACGGCTCCCGGCACCTGCATACGCCGCAGTCGCAACTGCCACGACCTGAGCAGATCTCCCCCGTCGGTCCAGTGCACTCGTCCGTGGAATCCTTGCAGTTGCACTGCGTGCCCGACCAGCCATATTTACAGACACACTGACCACAGTAGCACTCGGCGCGCTCCTCATCGCAATCGATGCACTCGAGGCACTCACAGAAGTTTCCCGTATAGCCGGGATCACAAAAGCAGCTGCCGCACTCACAGTCGCCGTGATTTGAACAGACTTCAGTGGCCAAGCTGTTGCCCTCCTTGTCGAGAGGCTGACGACAGGTCCTGAGCAGCGCCTCGTTAGTTGTCGCATTCGACGGATCCGTCGGACAGTTGCAGAAGGTGCCCGTCCAGCCCTCGTCACAGATGCACATCCCGCAGTTCAGGTAGCCCTGATTGTCGCACTGAAAACGTGCGTATTCATCATCCGGCTCGGGTGGCTCCTCGCATGGACACGGACGCTGCAGCTCCACATCGATTTCCATGTACTCGCTCAGCGATGCCTCCTCCACGCGAATTTTGTGATTCTGCAGGGGATGTGTGAAGTCAGGTCTCACAATATTCATATTCAATTAGAAGCCAATACTCAACCAATACGCCGTTCTCGGGGTAATCCGTGAGGGTTACGTCTAGAAAAAACTCTATTTCCTTGCCTTGGCTCACATTATTGCAATAATTGCGTTTACGCAAGCTGGGAAATTGTCCAGCACAATCCGTGAAATATTCCACTTTTATAAAGTCCGGACTGTTGTCTCCAAACTGCGTCCGCTTTATGAAGCTCTCATAACTGAAGGAGAAGGAGAGATCGAAAAAGTGAGATAAGGAGAGGAATTTAGATTAGATGTCGAGAAAAAAGAATTCGATATATAGAGTGGGAGGAAAATATTTATAGAGAGATAATAACGAAATTCTATAATATATATATATACCATTTTTAACCAACTCACTTAAAATTTCTGCCAGCCCTTCACCTACCTCTTTTTGATCAGCTCCAAGATATTGGATGAATCGGCGCTCAATATTTCGACATTGCTAATCTCCTGCATGAGTCCGCTCAGCTCCTTGTACGTGCTGAACACCTCCTCGGTAACGGCAAAGATGACATTGATCTTGCGCCTTAAGAGCTCCCGGTAGATCTCCTCCAGCGACGGATAGTCATAGGTCAGCGAGCCCGTATACTCGCCCGCTTTATTCAGATGGCACTGGCGATCGTTGCGCTGCGTAACGCCCGCCAAGAGGCCGTCGCCAGCGAAGTGCATGAAGCCGTCGGTGACCAGGATGACGACTTTGCGGGCCTGTTGCTTCCAGCCGATTTGCTTGGGGCAGACAATCACCTGCATGAGAGCATCCAGGCCGCCCTCCAGATTGTCCAGATTCCCCGTTATCTTACTAGCCGCCACAGCCGCCGTGAATGCCTCCACATCTTCCGTTAGCTTCAGATGGTGCCGATAGTCGTAGGTGGGCTCACAGCTTTCCCGCTCGGCGGCACACGGATTCTTCCGCAGCTGCGGCATTATCATCGGCAACTCCGGCTTGTCCGCAAAGGAGCCAAAGCCCAGCCGATAGTTGTCCGTTAGACTGTGCAGCGTTTGGGTCAACTCGGCGCCGAGCTTCTCCAGTGTATCCTTATCGTCGCGCATCGTCCAGGTGAGATCCATCAGCACGTACAGGTCGAGCGGATTGTTGCCTGCCGCTCGATAGCTCAGCTTGATGCGCTGCGTGTTGTCTGCCCCAAAAAAGATATTCGTATTGGCATTCTGATTGGGGTTGGGCCAAAAGGGGATTTACGGCTGGGCCGTAAACTCAAGGGGTTAAGTGCGGCATTTACGAGCTGTTTTATAGGCTGCAATGCCATTGTAAGACAACGGACAACAGACAACAGACAAGAGTAGTTAAACATTGCTCCACATTCCATTACACTATCCACCACACTGCACTACACTCCACTCCAGTTTATAACCCTTCATTAGCGAACGCAGTTGTTCGCACCCAAGTAAAATGTTTGCCTTCCTTTAATCCTTAAGCCCCACAATTTTGCCAAAGCATAATTACAACTCATTTGATTGTTGTTTTTCCTTTTGCATTAAGAGTGTAATGGGCGTCGATTGAATGATCTCTCGTCATGTCCCATTTTGTTAATAAGCAGCTGCAGCTATCTGTCCCTAGCTAATCATAAGTTGAACTCAAGTGTACCATAAGCTAAATTTATCATGCAGTTATCGCCTTTTTTGCCTTCCTGTAGAAACTAATTTGAAAAGGGAGTCCCTAGCCTAGGGAACTTTTAACAACGTTTATTTGAAAACTAGACATTAGTAGGATAATTAAAGGTAGGCAGACTTCAATAGAACGATAAAAAGAGTGAGGGAGCGGGAAATATATATATATGGATGGTTAAAAACAAGAAAACCGACGTGTTTGTTTAATAAGTGAGTAATCAATAGAATTGATATGATAGATCTCTCTTTCACACACTCACGCTCCAACTGGTGTGACATCCAATCAGAAATGATTCATTTAATTCCAGTTTCCAAATATTCCTATGTTAATTATGAATCAATCTCTAATGTAGTATATGTTTACACACACACACTCTCTCTCTCTCTCTTTCTCTCTCTCTCTCTCTCTCTCTCTCTCTCTCTCTCTCTCTCTCTCTCTTACTCATTCTGCCTAGCTTTACTTTGTCGTATTCTCCGACTTATGTATATGCAGATTAGGTCCATAAGAACCGCTGTATGTAACCAACGAGGGTTCAATAAACTCTCTAAATTCCCACGCTGCCGTATAATTCCTCTAACTTAGATATGGTGATATGGTGATAAGCGACTCACAAGAAAAATACACACACGCACACACATAAATACACTCAAACACACCCTGCGTTAAATAAGCAAAGCAAACAAAATGCGATGACACACATTTCCAGCTAACAAATATAATATTCCGATTGATTGTAGCATAGTTTAACCACTCAGGAAGAGAATGAGAGCGAGAGAGAGAGAGAGAGAGAGAGAGAGAGAGAGAGAGCGTGATAAGATACGCACCTTTAACCAATTTGAGAAATACGCGCTGCGGCGTCACCTGCACCGCCTGCTCGTCTCGCGCTTCATAGTCCTTGAGCGGTCGCTGCTGCAGCAGTTCCAGCTGCGGCTGATTCTCATAGATACTCGCCTCGCTGCAGTTCAGGCTGAGCAGAGTTTCGCGCGACAGGCAGCGCGAACGCATTTCATAGGTCTGCCAAAGAGAGCAAATAGTAGTTAAGGAGTGACAGGGAGAGGTATAGTGGGCGCACCTTGTCCGTGCACCAGGCACAGTTAAGATGTGTGCTAAGACAACGATCGCAGCTGTCTATTGCATGCTTGCATTGCTCATCTGCACAAAGAGAGAAAGGGAGAGAGAGAGAGAGAATTAATGAAGAGTAAGAGAGCTTGTAAAACGATTTGCTTGTATAATAGTTGCCGAACCTATTGTTATGGACGCCACGAGAGCCAAGCATAATAGGTGGAAGTAGAGCAGCAGCAATTTGCCGCTACGCGACGGCATTTTCGTGCGCTCTCTCACTTGCTCTCTGAAGTTGTGCAATTCGCCAATGTTTTCGTTCACACTGCTAACGCTTTGGCCCGTAGAACTTACCGGCATCAAACCCGAACGGCGACTAATCACATTTTTTCACATACCCACAAAAGAAAAATTTGTTAATAATTTTATGTATGTGTGCACGTGTGTGTTATCTTATCAATGCGTGAAATAATACTATTTAGTCGAGAAAATGTTTTTCAAAATATATAAAATAATTTAAGATACGGCAGTTAGAATGTGAGCGAGACAAAACATAAACAGAGGGAATTAAAAAATTATGAAAGAAAAATAGAGAGCGAGAGCGCAAGTTACAGAGCGAAAAACGTGATCCAGACTTCTGATATTATTAATAGCTATTTGCAACTTCACTTTCGTTTCGCATGAGGATGTATATGTATATATTTCTTTTTCTTTGTATATATTTATTTTTGCATTTATCATTTATTATCATTTCTAAAATGTTGACATGGGATGCACATGAAGTGTTTTAATTTTTTATTTAAGTGTGTTTTTCTTTTAGTGTGTTATTCTAATTATTTCCAAAATTTTGTCGTTTCTCTAATTCAGAGCCGTTAATAGTCAACGCACTTGCAAATCTATCAGCTTTTGTCAACGATTGCCCAGATAAATATAAAAATAATTTAAAAATATCATTACCAAAAAAATTGACTGAAATGTTATGCCAACGTAATCAGCTTATTTTATTTACTTTTTTTTTTTTTTTAACAAATATGCAATGCTCAATTAATATCAAATCGAAATAATATTATATATTTTTTAAAATAAAACTTTACAATTTAGGCATTCGTCTAATAGGAAATACTCAAATTGACAGCATTAAGGAATTCTGTGCAACCATGCGAAACTAGTATTTTTCGCTCTTAATGAAATACTAAAGCTGTCCACATATGGTCACACAATGTGAGAGCGCGCAACTGTTAAGTTAATAGACGCTCAGAGAGCATAACAGCGGTGTAAGCGCTGGACAAAAAAAGGCTAAGCGGAAATTGTATGAATTAATATAGAAATGATATATATTATAAATCTAAAATCTTAATATAAATTGCATAATATTTTGAAATTTATTAGTTGTTAAGCTGCCATATGTTAAGGGGTTTTAGAAAATGGCAACCGAAACAGACAGCATTTTACGGCTAAAATCACGATTACGAAGTGTCGACTTACTTAACAGTGGAGTTAAGAGCTCAGCGCTGTTATCCATTTTGAGTATAACAGTCTCACTTACATTTATTTAACAGTCTGGAATTGACGGCGATTTCGAACGGTTGTGTACGCGCGTGTACCGGCCGCATCACAGAAATTTTGTTGTGTTTTTGCGGAATATCGAAAAACAAAAAAAAATTCTAATGTTTATTAAATGAGTGTCGCATTGCTTGCAACAATTACTCCTTAAGAGTGCGTGCAAAGTGAGAGTGTATATTTAATCGTCAGCTGTAAATTACGGTGAGTGTCGCGCAAAAAAAGAAAATAAATAAATAAAATAAAAATAAAAAATTTACGCGGCGGCTGGCTGTTGGTATTTTGTGGAATAAAGAAAAGGTGAAATGTCATTAATAAAAGAATGAAAATGTAGTCAAAGTGGAATACATAACAACTAAATACATAATACACATATACAAATTAAAGGAGGCAGAGCACGGCGACAGCGACGGCGATGTCGGCAGCCACTGAGACGCACAGTGCACAGTGAAAAAGGAATTCCAAATTTTTTTTTTTGTGTACTACAGTAAAGTTGTTGCCGCCGACGCCGCTGCCGCCGACGCTGACTTACGGCTGTTGTTGTTGCTTGGCTAGGCTAAGACTAGCTGCCGCTTGCAGCGACGCTAGCGTCGTCATTGCTTTGTTTATTGTTCACTGTGTGTGCGTGTTGTTGCTGTTGTTGTTGTTGCTGTGTAATTGTGAATTGGGTAAAAACCAAAACGAAAGCAAGTAAATTGCCCATTTTCTATTTTCCATTTTCCGTTTTGTGTGGCCAAATTGCAAAAAGTGAAAAGTTTAATTTACTAAATAAGCGGCTGCGTCGCAGTCGTCACCCACACACACAGATACACGCACACGCATACGCACGTAGGGCAAGAAGTAGGGAACGAAGMAGAGGAGGACTAGCGGCTGTTGTTGTTGTCTGTGTCTATTTTTTGCAATTTCTGCCTGCACACGCTCATTCGTGTTGGATTATTGGATTATACTCCGCCAGCAGCGTCGACGCGCCGCCAATAACGGCACTTCGGACACACACACACACACACACACAGATACACATGCGTATGTATATACGCACGCATAGAGGCGGCAACACCGACACGTCGGATTATTGTCCTTCTGAAGGAACGTGCTTTTAACGGTACAACTCAAACACCCGCCCATCTGCCAAAAGTGACAAAAGTCTCGGCGAGACATAGGAGCGAACGAGATAGATAGCGAGCGCGAGTCAAGGAGCAGCAGCACCAGCGGAAGCAGGACGCAGGAGCAAGTCAAACTATTCAAAGGTAAGTAAAAAAGTTAACAAATAGAAATAGAAAAAAAATTGTAATTACTGCAATTGTGGTTATGATTTCATGGATTTTTCCAAAGGGGGTTTCCCTTCCCTTTCCAGCATGTGCTGGAATCCTGATAGCAATGACTTACTTAAAGGCCAGAACTATCCGTTTGTCTTGGTTTGCTGTAATTAACAGCAGTAAATAACATTATTTGAAGTGAAAAACATTAGGGAAAATCAAATGACATAGGACTTGGTCTAAGCTGTATAGAAATGCGTTTAATGTTTCAACCTATAGGAAATATAATTAAATGAATATTGTGAATAGAAATTTGGAAAAATGTATGTAGACCAAACCAACTAAATAAATTCTTCAACATTTTTATTCACATATTTAATTTAATTTGAAATCTGATTGAATCGTATTTCATTACAAGAATTAAACAAAATTAATTAAATTCAACTAAACAAGAAAATATGTACTTAAAATTTGATTTTAAAAATATTAATTTAAAATAAAGACGAAATTTTAAAAGTTGTTGCATTGAAAGATGCAAAAGGGTTATTTAAAATTCAATATATTGCATTTATTTTATTTATTAATAGAATAGATGTAAAGTCTTTATTCTCTTCAAAAACTTTAGGAACAGTTTTTTCGACATTGGAAGTTAACAAATAATTATGGTTAAGAAATACTTTTCTCGTACTCCTCATGCATTGATATCACTAAATTCACTCAGTAGGTTCTCAAACATATTTATATTTATTTTTTCAATGAAATATTTTTGATTGCCAAATAAATGTTTCGACTACAATTTCATTTTCTCGCAGTTGATTTTAATGAATCGTTTAGCTGCGCTGCATTGGTATGTGAGATTTTTGTCTTTTTATTTTGGCTGGTTTTTCCAGGCAAATCGAAGCGACGCGACGCGACGCAACTGACTGACAATTTATTCTAATGTTCGATTCCGATTTTTATCGGTTGCACATAAATTTGTTTGGTGTGCGCGGCTTGCGTAAAATGTTCTGTGGCAACTTTGGTGATTTATTGCCTGTCGATTGTCGTCGGAGCAGACCCAACCCGGAGCGGAGCGGAGCTGCTCCGCCAGATCCACAACCACAGCCACAGCCACAGCCAGGCCAATAGGCCTGCAACTAATGTACGCGTCGCCGTCATCGTCGCCGCACAGATGCCGCGGATTAGATAAAAAACGCGCGACGGCGCTCTCAATTTATGCGTGTTGCCAGAGAGTTGCCAATTGGCAATTGCAGCAGTTTGGCACCCGCCCCCGCCCCCCGTCCACCTCGGCCATAACGTGGCTGAAAAAGAAACTCAAACTGAAACTTGTCGCGCCCACTAAATCTTGGCCATGTAGCCAGCCGTCCAGTCGGCGGACGGTTCGTCCTGCTGCAGTTCCCGTCTATCATTTGAAATCATGTTCGAGCGATAAGAAATTATACGGCCGTGGCCATAATTTACGTGATTTGCATGGCTAAAAGCGTTCGCTCGCTCTCTCACACTCTCTCTGTCTATTAGAGAAACGCTGTGATACAGCAACATTTTTGACATTTATTGTTTTTAATAGTGAGGCCCAAACAATTTTATGACCAAAAAGGAAAAAAAAAAAAAAAAAAAAAAAAAAATCAGGAACATTTCCACCTCACCTCCAGCTCCACCCACCTTTAGAGGCGATAAAAAACATTATGCACCAACATGATCGAAGAGCTGCCTTTAGAGTTTAAAAAAACTCGTAAATATTAAATGAGTGAAGAAATAGTAAATCGACTACTTTTCAAATTAGCAGAGACACATACGCACAGTGGTTGAAAATTGTTAATCTATTAACATATAGTATAGCAGTATAGCAAGTCGAAAAGCATTTGTTTTAGATGTATTCAAAAATTTAAAAATAAATTCAATTAAACTAAAGGAAAAAAAAAAAACATTTATTGTAAAAAGTCAATTTCACTTCTAAAAGAAAGAGTAAAAACACGTTTATTTAAATTTTCTTGGAACTTTTTTTTTTTTCTTAATGCTGATTATTCCGATAATAATAAAATAATAATTAATTGAAAATATAAGAATATATAGGCTTATTATATGATTATTGAATAGTTATATTTATTCACGCTAAATATGAATGATTTAATTTATAATACTAAGTTATTCTCAATGAAAATACTTGTATTTAATATTTAAAAATTGAATAAACTTCCTTAGTGATATTTCAATTCAAAATGTCCTCATCTCTTCACACACTTGTCACACTGTGCGACGTCATAAAATGAAAAGTGTCATAAAAATTAGTCAAGAAATCACGCGCTGCCTTTTCCTCCATACATTTGTTCATTTTTATTTGCTGCAGTTGGACTTTGTGTTTTGTATGTTTCTTTCTGTTTTTTTTTTGTCGCTGTCCCTGTCGCATGGTTTATTTGGTTGTTTGGCTCTGACACATTTGTATGCTAATGTTGCGGCCGTTGAAGGTGCAAGCGCTTCCGGCGGCTAAGCGCTTAGAACTTTACTCAAGTCAACTCAACTCAAGTCGACTCAACTCGACTCGACTCGACTTGATTTAACTCAACTCGTCTTCAGCCTCAATGGGGGGATCTATCTATCACTTTGATGAGGGTCGCCTGGCAGCAGGCGCAGAGCAAAGGTCATTGGCTTATTTACGAATTATCTGAATGAATATGGCACATTAAAGTGATTTTTTGTTATAGCTGATTTATATATGTTTTATATATTTTTTTTGCCTCTGCATTGATTTGCTGATTAAGGAATTTAATGTCAGCAGTGAATCATATAATTCAATTTGAAAATATATTCATGACATCCGATTGCAATTTAGATAACAAAGAAATAAACTAGTTTTGTTGATTTGTAATTAATATATAAATCATTAATAACCTGAAGGCTACAAATAATTATTAAAAAAATCAAATAAATAAAAAAAATAATATAAAGTTGATAAGCTTTTTTCTGAAATGTTTTCATTTTGAATTGTGGAAATAATTAAATTAAGTAACTTTTTTTTTAATAAATTAGGTGGATTACAAAGGAAATAAAAACTAGCTCGGATTGAGAAGGAACTGAAAACTATTAATAAATTTGTATATATTTAACTATGCAAACAATTAAATAAATAAAAGTATTCAAATATATATAATCCTCTCAAGTTATTAACAGTTTTTATTAAATTCGTAAGTAAATTCGGCTTGAAAGCAATCGAAAATATTCTTCAGGCAAAAGTAATTTTTATGTAAAGTGAAGCATTTTGTTTGCTTTCAATGCGTAATCAAAAATAAAACGATTAAAAAAAAAAACATAAAATTTGAAAAAGTTTGAAAGATCTTGAAGTTCTTATACATCCGAAGCACATCTGGCAGCTCTTGCGATGCGTTTTGAAGACAATTGAAAGTGCAGCTATGAGTTGAGAGTAGGGGAGAGCTATAAATAGTTTAGTTTTTAGGCTGCTTATCGCTGACTTCCTGCTACACSAAGATATCTCTCTATCTATCTATAACTCAACCTAAACAAATAGCGAAGCAACGCTGTTTGAATGCCCTCGACTTTCTCCTGGCTAACGCCTAGGCTAATAACAAAGATATCAATGGCAGAGGGCGATGAGTAACCTTGAACCCGCCACCCGGGGCCAAGGCTCATTTCCGGCTGAGTGTGACTCAATACAGATACCACAAAAAGAACAAATAGAGAATAAGTAGACGAAGAAGCAGAAGAAGAATAAGAAAAGACGTGAATCCACAATGCCACAAAGTCAATAAATACGCCAAAAAATTATCACTTGCTCGTTAGCACAAGCACAAACACACAAACACACGCACACAGACACAAGAAATACTAGAAAAACTAGATGTTAACAAAGGCAAAAACTATTTGAAACGTTAAAGAAAAAGAAAGTCGAACAAAAATTTCATTCAGCGCTGATGGACACTTAACATCCCTATC